CAGCATCCAGACAGCAGGAGGACGCCAGAGTGCTAACCGTCGTGGAACGCACAGGCCACAGTCTCAAAACTGAATTCTGACTTCCCTCGTTAATCACAACCTCTGTGTTCCCCAGGTTTCCTCATGTTCGCCTTCCCAGAGGGTCCCACTCGTGCTGACTCGGGGTTCTGAGTCCCCACTGGGTCCTCCCTTTCTCCCGGCTCCAAGCAAGGTGCTTCGAGCCACTCTGGTTTCTCCTGCTGCCCCGGATTATTGGAAAGTAAGCGCAGCTCTGTCACCCTCAAGCCCGAGCCCCACCTGTCACTGAGACACCCGCCACCAGCTCCATCGATCAAAGCCTGAGTCCGCTCCGTCCTCCCCCAGTTAGGTTGCTGCGTCCGGTGGTAAGCTCACGTTCCTCTGTTCATTTTCGCCTGATCGCCCATTCCCGCCTAATCACTAACTTCTCCTTTCAGAAGTCGAACGGATCCCGGTGCTGTTGCTTCCCCGTCGACTCCGTTGGTACCATTTACTCTCTTTCTCTCAAAGACTCAATAAACAGTTAACTGCCGTGTGTGGTCTGCATGTGGGCTAAATACGTTCAGCCGAACATGACACATTTAACTTTTGTATTTGGCCTTATGTTAAAAGCCTCTTGTCTGAGATAGAAACTATTAATTGTCTTAAGTGTTTTTCACTAGATATATTTTTTCATGCTGAATAATGGACTGAAAACATTTTGAATGAGAAAGATCACCACTATTGGCTTTTCTTTGTGCTACTCTCTGTGAATGGCAGAAAGTAAAGGACTAATTTAATTCCTGTTTTTATAACAGCGACCTTTTTATGTTTAACGGATGCCTTCGTTTAGCTACAAATGACTACTAAGTGCCCTCCGACATCCTTAAATCTTTTCTAGTTTTAAGAACTGGCAAGGTGTCAATCAAAAATTAATCAAGGATGGTACTTCCTTTTACACAAACCAAGATCAGTCAATGCATTCACTAGACCAAAGACTACATGCATGGAAAGACTAAGGTGTACTACGACATAAACATACTGGAGCCATTATCTTACTAGTGCTTTTGAATCCCAGTGACATTACTGAGGAAACCTTCTCCCATCATTGATGCCATGTTATGAAATCAAGTTCTTGTACATCACAGAAGATTTGGGGGAGAAGATTTAGAGCTCAAAAGGCAGCAGTAAGCTTCAGATTCAAGCTCAGACAAAGCAGCCACTGATAGCATGGATGGGCTTCCTACCTGGGATACTGGCTTTTCATAGGAGAGATGGACATTGTTGATGGTTGTTGATGATGATACTGAAGAGGCAGATTGATAAGACATCTTGGCTGTTTGGCAAGATGTCCAAATATTTGCAAAGGCAGAAGAATTGAGTAAAGTCTTAAAGTTTTGGTAGAAAGTTTTCCAGGCCATGAATCTGCAATTTTTTTTTAAATTCTTCTTTAAATTCATTAGAGACAGCTTTTTGAAATCCAAGACTAAGGTTCTCAACTGGAAAAAGAATAAATGATTTGAGAGGGTCTGCAGGGGATGGATAGATAAATTGGAGTTTCGTCAGCAGGAAGGCAGTCTCCAAGAAAGACCTAAGCCAAAAGTGTAGCTGGGTTCATCTCTCTACATTTAAACCCTCATCAATGGTCACAAGAAAGAGAATCTGACTGCAAGAAGTAGGGGAAGTTTGCTCTACCTAATGTGACCTGATATGTTTGAAAGATTGATCAATTCAGGGGAGTTTGAAACACAATTTTCTGCAATGCCACAAGGTGGAGGTTAACTTTAAAAATGTATCAGCATGCAATGTATCTTGGCCTGGAAGCGTTCTGTCTCGTCTCGAGCAAAATGGGATCTGTGAGGATGTAGCTGGAGAAAGGAATGTCTGGGTTTCTCCCATCAACCTTCCATGCCATTCACCCAATCCTGGATATAAGTGAAATACATTAGGGGATTGAAGATTCATCCCACCATTGACATAAAGGATGCTGGGAAATACATGTTTAAAGGGTGTTGCCAAAGAGGTGACAAGAAAGGAAGAATTGTATTTGTTGAAAGGAAAGCAAAAAAGGATAAGGGGGATTAAGAGGTATGCCTGGAGTTAGGCAAAGGAGGAAAAGGACCCTTAGTGCATTCAAGAATATGCTTTTCCTCAGGAGGAGAAGGAGTCTTTTGAAATCAGAAGGTAGAACGGTAGATGGGTAGGCATATTAAGGACAGAAGAAGAAGTGGGTGAGGGAAGGGTTGTTGTTAGGAGTACAGAGCATCAATACCTGCAGGACTGAGAACCAGAGATTGCAGAATATCAGAAAGAGAGACAATCCCCCTCACCACATCTTCTCTGTCGACCAAAACTAGTCGATGAACCTAAAGAGAAAATACAACACAGTTTGATTATAACCTTTCATCAATATTTCTTTATGTTCAGTGTTTCAGTTGAAATAACCACTGTGGTGTTATGTTTCCTATGTCCTAACATGAGGACATGCAGCTCCTCTGCTTTTATCCTGTGTTCTGCAGTATTCTTCCTATCAGTCAGGAAGAAAGAGAGCCAGGAAGAGGGTTTTATTGCTCTTAGCTCCTCTAGCATAACAGAGTTAGCTCATGCACAGAACAATTAGCCATGCTCTCAGGTAGTTGGATTTAGAAACTTTTTTGAATAGGAATTTAAATAAAGACATTTGACTTTGAATGTTTCCTTTTTAGTTGACATTATAGGCCATGTTAATGTATTTTTTCCATTACCTGTACAACCCTTTTTATTTATTTGTATAATTTTCTCATTTATATTTGAATTAAAAAATTAACAGACAATCTATGTGATTGGCAGTGATAAGTATCAGGCCAGTTAGCAGGCCTCATGCCCCATAGTCAGTTAATTACGGCCTCCCAGACCCTTTGCTTTGGACCTGTCGCTGGCAACTCCATGTCATTTGCTGTCCAAGTCTCCCCGTCGTATCTTCATTGTGTGCTTATATAAGTCCGTCTGGGTGTAAGGCAGGATTGTGTGAATCTGACTGGATGAATGTGAAGTTGTTTCTCTCTACTTGTCAGGTTTGCTGTTTGCCTCGCCTGCTACTCATACTGCTGCCGCACTGATTTAGGCCCAAGTATTAGCAGGGCCTGATGCCACCCCCGTTTTTTTTTTTTTTTTTTTCTTGATGCTGCAGCACTGACAGCTCTCTGGGTGCAGGGTTTGGTACTTCAGTGGGCGCTGTCCCATTCCTGGCTGCCGGGACTGGGTCCCTGGCCCTGTGGGGTCCCCGCTTGCAGGTGGTTCAGCCCCAGAACTCGGACCCTCATCTCTCATCCGGATCCACCTTGAGCATGACTGGCCCCCGGCGGAACCCATGGACTTGCTACCGTGGCCACCTGGGACCCAAGCACTATGGCCTCCGGGGTCGAGTCCCTCAGGGACTGAGCCCCTTTGTGGTTTGGCCCATCAGGGGTCAGGCTCCGGTTGCTCTTGTCTGCTTTTTCTCTGGTGGGTGCGGTCATGCCTGTGTGTGCCCCCCTTGTGTCCCAGTGATCCGTCTCTGGATAAAGGGGCTATCATTGCCTCCTTTTCTGTCCAGGGCCCGGTAGGGTTGGTCTGGGCCGGCCACACCTGCTATTAAGCATACATTGCTCCTGGAGAAGCTTTGTGAATCCTTTGTTCACGAGCAAGGTCATGCATTTGTTTCCAGGTGTTGACAGATACTTATCCCCAGTTGCTGAGGATAAGTTGGTTTCAACTTAAGCAATCACCGCTCTGCTCTCTCCATGTGGTGATGCTGTTTGACAACACCTCATTTCTATCTAGTAGCAGGAGGTGCGGGCGGAGCAGTGAACGCTCTCACCGGTTGATATAAAAACTCTATGTGAACCCACTGCGTTTGCCATAATCAACGCACCCAGTCTGAATGAAACAAAAGAATGATGCAATGACTGAAAGATGTTACTTTAAACAGCCATTCATTATCTTCTGATTTGATTTTGGTTGCATGTTAGCTTTGGCCGATGGAGTTAACTCCAACTAATATAATTAACAGTATCTTAAAAGTCGATCAGCTTTGCTTGTTTCAACAGTTATTTCATGCCTAACATTTAATGCAACTTTTACAGCAGTAACTCAGTGCGGCTTTGGTTAAATTTACACCAGTTAAACACAATAAGATAAAAAAAAAAAACAGCTCTGGTAATATAAGCCTTCCTGTGTTTGCTCTTACTGTGGTGAGTCCAGTAAGACCTAACCGTGTCATCAACCTAGCAACATTGCACAGGTATGAAATGGCGACAATGGGTGAAACAATAAAAAAATATATATATATTTTAAAGTAATTATGAGTTTTGACAAATTACAAGAGGATTTTTTTTTAATTGATAGGAAATTTTAAAACACATTTAGGAAAACATATTTAACTAGTCATGGATAAGATTCATATTAAAGGTTGCTGGTGAAGATTTTCCGTCATCCAAGTCATAGTCATTCCAAAAAAGTTTAAAAAAAAACAATCCACTGGCCTTTGTTTCCTTTATGAGACATAGACAGGTATGGAGCATTGCAGGCTAACAAATAAGTCAAATGACCCCCATTCCAATGGGGTGGACCCGTTCGTCAGTTTCAATTTGCACGTTATCTAAGCAAAAACAAGGCTTTGTTGGGCTACTGTATAAAACCTTGAACTCAATGCTATTTCTGACATTTTGAATAAAAAAACTGAAAGCGATGGATGGGAAGTGAAACATCTTCAAACTTGGAAAAAAATTCCAGTGGATTGTTTTTCTATAGGCTACATACAGTAAGACACCTAAAGTCCTGCAGCTGCAGAGATCGGTATTACCTCAGCCTTTGCTATACGGTCGATGATGGTTTCCAGAGTTTCGTGGGGATAACACTTGAGGACTCCTTCCACCCAACAGGATCTTGATGCAATGGCCTCTTTCATTGTCATGTTTAAATTGTTGTAATTCTTTTGAGCTGCAAGGTTCTTAAAAAAGTAAAAAAAAATAAAAAAACAATTTATGAAAATGTAAAAAAAAATCACAATAAAAAGATAATTTAATTTATAGAGATTGGGTAGACTTACAATGACATCAAATCTGGAGTACAGTGCCACAACTTTGCCTGAAACAGTTAAACAAGAACATTATGACACACGGCTCAGGAGTCCCATCACATCTGAA